ATCGCAAAATCAGATTTTTATTCAATTAGAAGAACTTCATCTTTTAATTTTAATAACCTTTTTGAACTGTGGCTTCTTGAAAACTACCTTACTTCTGCATGTAATAATAAGCGTTTGTATTCGGAATCTATGTCTTGGTCATTCAGAACCCTTTCAAACAAAGATTTGAAAACAAGTGACTGCTCAGAGCATGACTTTTAATAAAATTGAGCGCTTTTAACACTATCTCGAAGCACCATATCTAACTCCGCTGATATTTTTTTGGTCATCAGGGGTCTCTCGATGTATTATGTAATGAGTAAATTGAGTAAATGCTATATGTTCGTTGCCACTTTCCTTGACTTTGCTAGGTATCCAATTTTTTTCACTGACCATCGTTTTAGCGCCGTCTGTACAAATGTCAACAATTTTTCAATTGCAAATTTTCATCAATGAAAATTTTATTAAAGTTTTCAAAAATGTCCTCTCCTCTTGTGTGTCCATCCAAACAGCGACAAAACAAAAATTCCTCATGAATACGTCCTTCAAAGATATATCTAACATACACTAATAATTAAGCTAAGTTGGTAATATCGGTTGATTCATCCAACTGGATTGTAAACTTAGGACTCATTTTGAACTTAGTTATTAGCTGCTGATGTTGATCTTTATTAATTTCCAAAATTCGCTTTGAAACAGTTTCGTTGTATCAGGAAATTTTACGGATTTCATCCGCATACTTTTTGCCATGAACTATTTTGGACATTATTGGTCAAACAACAAGAATCAGCGTTTGCAGTTAGGCAGCTGGAGGAAGATGATTCTGTATTTAAACCATCGAAACTAGTCCTGCAAAATTTACAAATATTACGCTGATTCTTGTTGTTTGACTTCCCCAATAATCGTTTTATTTTAACCTAAATGCATTTTGCTTCCCGGTATATCTAAAATGTTTTACCCCTTAGTACTTCCGCTTTGCAGCTGCCCCGGCTTTGATTACACATTTTTTAATCTGTTGATATTTTTTGCCTTCTAAGTTTCGATCATGATGTACGACTGACACGTCCTTCATGAAAGCTTAGTAGCCAAATGAAACGTTGACGAAAAGTTGGATTAAGCAGTAGTACAAAGTTATGAAATTGTGCTCCCGTAAACGTTTAAAGTCTGATCCTTTATTTTCTAGAATAACCTCTGCTTACAGACTCCATTTCAAACACAGTTTGAAATTTATTTTCTGTGCCGAAGTTAGGTTAGGTAACCTAACGGAAAGTTGTAATATGTAACCGTTAGGCTGACAATAATTTATTTAAAAATTTCTTCTGAGTTATTTTACTTAGAAATTCAAGACCAGACGTAAGTCATTTGATCACCTTTATGAGTCCAACATTTAGAATATGATGGATCCGTACTCCTATTTGGCAACAGTTTAGGAACTATTGTATGTATTATTGAACTATTGTATTGACGTCTGCCGCGTTACAAAAGGCCTCCACATCGAACATCTGTGCATGTCCATAGAAATATGCGTTCATGTTTTATCTGCATTTGTGAAATAAATTCATTATAGCAGTGACAGGTATGTTTTCTTTCTGTAAAATTTTTTTTTTACTTGCCATGTATTTGAAAACCAACTCAAAATTAAACAGCTAGGTTGAAGAATTCAGCTGGTAGACAGATGGAATTTATGTGCTCAACGAAGCATCTATATAGCCTGGCATGAACTATTAGATTTATTAGCAATAGATTATATATGTCCAAAATTATCGTAACGATTCAAAAGGTGGTTTCGAGAATTTTCAATGATGAGCATGAATCTCGTTACCTATGTTTAAAATTATCAATACAATTCGAGAAATAGTTTCACGAATTTTCAGTGATACACATGAACTTTGTTATCTATGTCCAAAATAATCGGGGCAATTTGGGAGACAGTTTCGAGAATTTTGAATGATGCGCAGTGTACAGATTACTAAAAAATTCTCACAGCTTACGTTGGATGCAACGCTGAAATACTGTATCAGTCAGGGCCGTCATGAGATATAATGATTATTCAAACACCACTGAAATTGCAATCATATTCTTTTTTTTTTTTTTTTTTTTCTTGGTAGTTAAAGTAGTTATTCTAAAGTTTGGGGGGGGAGATGTTTAACAATTTCTTAGGTTAGGATCCAAAGATTCGAATGATCTCAGTATTTTTCCCTTATGTTAATTGTGTGAAGAAAATTACCTTTTAAGCAAAAGCAAGTCATTTAATTTACACTTTCTAAAAGACTGCTCATGAATCATTAAAAAAAAAACACTCAGTTCTCTTTTAAATAATGATTTGTAATTACTCAAATAACACTTTTTGTGTAATTTTAGAGCATTTAGAGCAATGAATATGCTTCCGATTCATTTATAAGGTATTTCTCCCGCCTTCTTAGTATGCCTTCGTGGTGTAATGGCCAGCACACTCGGCTTGTATTCGAGAGGTCTGTGGTTCGAGTCCCAGGGAGGGCATTGCTAATTTTTCATGTCTTCTGCTTCCAAAATATCCTAATGACTCTACATAGTTTACTTCTACTAAAATGAAACAACTATAATTATAAACGGAGAGGTACAAAGGAAATCAGAAGAAAGTATTTGGTTTCTCTACTTGATGAAAAAGCGCTCAGTTGCTCAGTACAAGCGTTACAAATTTTTATTTCCTTGGGGCTTAATCTTTCTGAACACAAAGCAGTAGATATAAGATGTAGTTATTCCAATTTATATGTAATCATGTTAATCACATATTCATTAATTTACTTCAAAAATTTCTTTATATTCAAAACTGTCTCATTATTTTTCAAACGATATAAATTTCTACTTGCGGCTTTCGAATGTTCATAAAATCTATCCTGCGACACCCATCTTCTTGAAGTTTTGCCATACCTGCGATAGACGAAGCGTAAGACCTTTTATTTATCCTCGATGTTTTAAATTGCGCTACGCTACAGCACAAGAAAGGAACAATTTTAAAAGTTTTTTTTTTTACTTACATTTATTAATAAAATTTTGCAGCAAGTATTTTGTACCATAAGTGTCGTAGAACAGATGGTTCCGAATTTCGGTGTGAGACGGCATCGAGTTCGCTAGGTAATGTCCTGATGTGACTCGCAGTCCGCGTAGTACTTGCACGTAGCATCTTTAAACCACGGCCAGGCATGCATTTTCCCCGCCATTGTGAAACCTGAGAACCGGGAGTGGTGACTCCGTGGGCCCAGGCATGGAGGTAAGAAAGGACTTACTTCCTACCTCCATGTGCCCAGGAGCATGGAGGTAGGAAAGGAAGGGGGGCAACCGGCACTAGAAGTGAAGCCCTGCTTTGAAGCTTGGGTCACCAGATGGGGGTGTTCTTTGTTTACATTCAGAAGCTCGCTTGACAGGGTTCTGATAGTATTTCGACACACGACAGTTCCATACAAATCGAAAAAGGGACACTTTCGCATGAAAGAAACATTCATAGTGTGATGGATAATAGCAATTTGTATAGTTTAGTGACATTTACGCAAAAATCACATCTTGGTTATTTTTCGATAACTAACAAGAGCAATTTTGGTTATGAATTTGTTTTATAAAATTCCAAGCTGTTGAACTACAAAAATATAGATTTTAAGAAAAATGTTATGCTTAAAGAATGAAAAATACCTTACGGTACATTTAAAATTGTATACGTCTTTCGATACCCTTGATAGAGTATTCGCTACTTTTATTTTATTTTCCAAACGCCAAAATGTTTTAAATAAAACAAATTTTTTTCACATCCATATATTATTTAACATGTACCTTTTAAAATTTTTTAGAGGAGGGGGTTTACTGCTGCTCATTTTAAACTCGTCGTTTTAATTTTATATATCTGAAAAATAATCACTTTGAGCTTACACGTTTTACTTATTTGGGTTAATTAAAAATAAAATTACCATCAAATGCTGCAATCCTCGCCAAATTAATAAATATACACACAGATATGCCAAATAAATTAGCTTTCCCTTGATTTGAAACCACACATTTGTGTAAAATTATGTACAGTTTTACGCAAATGTGTGGAACAGAAGAGGGATACATTTGCGAATTTTGCGGAAGTACCATGTGCGGTCAAGATGATGTAACCATGTGAACGTGCTACATCATCAAGACAGCTTATTAAGAATTTGAAAATAGGGTAATCGACGGAGGTAAAAACATTTGTATATCCTGCCAAAGGAGGTCCGATCATGAATGGTCCTCTTATTGATTCCAGATTGTTAAATGTTCCCACGCAAGTCTTTTTTTCTCGGAAATTCGAGTTTTATGCTGGCTTCTTAACGTAGGCAGGTCATTAAATTATTTATAAAATGTATTTGAAGTGAAGAATTTATTCACTTATAAACAACTGTGAAAGTACTGTGAAGAAATCTAATGATTAAATGTATCTAATTTATAATGATTATAAATGTTATCTAAATATATCATAACCTTAATATTGAATTGTAAACCATAAATTGAAATCCTGTTGACAAATACGTTATAAAACTCTTTAAGCAAGAATTGTTCGTATTGGAAAGCAATCTTTTAAAAGGTATTGTAAAGCAAATGCTATGAGATGGTGCACTGAAGAACGTAATAAAGAGTTTTGGAATATGTATTGTTTTTGAAATGAAGGGTAAAAAAAATCTGATAAGTATAATTAAAAGAATTATTCCCCTTACATTTTATAATAACTCAGTTACAAGTTTTAAATAATACTTTAAAAAAATTATTGTATTCCCTTTCAGAAATGTTCAGATAAAGTCAAGTACTATTTAAAGTATTTCGCTAATTCCTAATAATTCTCTAATTTAAAATGAACCGATTAGAGCATTTCGATATTTGCGATATTTCTTTTGTCTTAAAGAGAGTTATAGCGTTATTCATCATTTCCCCTCGCAGTATTTATTATTAATTACACTCAGTCATAAAAATATATTTAAAGTAGCGTTTTACACCTTAAAATATTTATTCACATTTTTACTTTTATATTTTAGGATCACCCACAGTGAAATATGCCAGTGCTTAAGTTACTTAATCTCTGAGGGAGGATTATCGAATGAGAATAAAATTACGTCCAATGAGTTTGATCTCAACGATACACTATGTGATGGCGATTTGCTGATGCAGTGTAAATCATTTTGCGTCGAAATGGTAAAAAAAAAAAAAAAAAAAAAAAAAAAAAACTGTATTTATTTACCTATTTCTTGCTTTCAACTAATGTGATTTATGCAACTTCTCTGAAATAATTTACTTGTTCACAGAATGGTTACAGGTGTAAATAATCAAATTCAATGGAAGATAATACGTTCTCTTTTCTATTATTTTGCATACATTATGTATAGAATCATCCTAATTAACTACTGAAATTAAAACAGGAATATCCAGAAATTTCAGCCCATCTTAAAATAAGAATGCATTTTAAAATCGTCTTTGCTAATTTTAAGAGAAAGAAAGATTGCAACTATCACCAGACGGAGATAATGTGCTATGAATAATCTCAATTGTATATTTCTTCAAAAATTATAAATTAACTTCCAAATTCAGAAAATCTTATACTATAAAACTGTACAATTCAAAAGAAATTATGAGAATGTATACGAGGGTGATTCATTTTTGCAGAATTACCTTCTTCTTTATTAATTACTTCACTCAGATCAATGTCTTAGTATCTTATTTTGTTTTTATGTAGTTCATGTATTAATTTGCTAGGTAAAATTCATGTCTTCTAGCTGATGAGTTGGATCTACAAATACTTTTAAGCTTCAATTAAAATTTAACAACACTTTGAGCTAATTTATTACTTTTAGTACTAGCGTACTTTCTTCTTCCCTCGTTGACTATTTTCTCATCATAATATTACAATTATATGTTATTATAATTAGCTGTTATATAAGAATTTTGACAAACTGTTAATTTGTGTCATTGCTTATATCTTTTTTTAATGCAACTTTTCCGATAACTCTTTATATTATATTTGAGCCTTAGATAATTTACTTATTGCTCGAATTAAGCGCACAGCATGTGTTACGAAATGGCCAGCTACGGTAAGCTGGCTTCTCCGCAAAGCGGTGTTAGGGTTGCCAGATTTGGCGCAAAATCCCCTATATTGCGATATTGTGTGACCGATATACCATAGACCGGTAGTCGCTAACCTTTAGAACTTCAGAGACCATTAAATGTATAACTTTATAATTGACGGACCACTAATACAAATTTAGGGAGAAAAAGTAAATACATTTACACTGTAATAATAATCAGAAAACTTTTATTGTATTAACGTGAAATGCACCCATTAAAAGTAACAAAGTCATAGAGTAATTATTTTTAAAAAATGAAAAGTTTAAGTTTATTTGATTATTGCACATTTTGAGTGCTATACTTGTCCTGTTTGTTTGAAATCAGTTTGTAGATTTTTGGCTCCAATGACGTCCTTGCAAGACGAAGAGCCGCGTTTATTTCAAGCCGAGATCGGTACCGAGTTTTAATTGCTATTACAGATGAAAATGTCTTTTCGCACAAATATATTGTTGAAAATTGAATTAAAAGTTTCATTGCCTTTTCACTCAGTGATGGGTATTAATTTTTTACAGAAAGCCAAACACGAGGTCTTGATAAAGATGAAATTCCGGATTATTTTGCTGATGAAAAAATAATTTGATTTTTTCACGCAGGACGAACAGCCGGGTCAGTATTTTGTCCTTCAAAAGCCATCTAACCTCAACGTTAAGAAGAAGATCAGTAAGATGAGGTTACCTGTTTGTTCTTTTTGTTCATCCCGACTACGAGCCTGAAACTGGCGGATAACTGATGTTTCATATGCAATTGAACTTTAAATTTAATTAATGAAAATATTTGTAGTTTTAGAATTGCAGAATAGCGCATTTCTTTTTACAAATTTTACAAAATCCCCGGTCTCCAACTACTAGGTAAAACTAAAAACTGTCTGATTAAAAAAAAAGAGTACATTAATTTAAAATTGAGGTCGTCAGAAAACAATGGTTTTCTGAAGGGGAATTCAACAAATAGATTTTTGAATTCTTTAATTAATTGACAAACGTCTATGTTCAGTATTTCAATTTGCCGTCCTGTTCGGTACGATGGTTAGCAGATGGCTGCCATATCATTCAAATCCCGGAAAGAGTTTGGATTTTCCCAGTTAGAGTAATATCAGTTGCTGCTTGGGATCCACCTCAGCAACGTTCTCGGTGAGGAGGCTGCTAAATATACCATGGGTTTAGCCATTTCCAAAATTAACAAGCAAGTTTCCAGCCATGGGGAGGGGACTATTTCAGTTTAATTAAAGGGAAAAAAATTATATCTCTAAAGAACAATTTTCTTCAGCAGTTTCCAATAAAGTCTGTATTAACCATTAGCAAGATTTAGTCTTAATGCAACTGTAATAGCTTTCATCTGATGCCATTGCTTAACTTATAAGAAAATGTAATTGCAGAGTTCTCAATGTCATTTCAGGTTTTTAAATAATAATAATAATAAAATGTAAATACTTATATATTGTGTTTTTTCCCCTAGTACAAAGAACTGACAGACAATGGAAGAACATGTTCAGTAATGCCAAATGATAACAAGAGGTTTGGTGATTGGATATGCGAAGCACTCAATCGCAATGTATGTAACGCAAGGGTGGGAATCTTCGTACAGAGTTGTGGTAGCGACGTTGTAGATACAGGATTTCGATTTGTAGAAACAATCTGCTGCAAATCTGGAAGAAGCATTCATTGCTAAAATGGAATTTTAAGAAATTAAAAGAACTTTTTTAAATGAACTGAGAATAATGAAAAGAGATGAAACATCGGCCATTTTAAAAGACTGAAATTTAGTATTATAAAATTCTTATATGAATACCTTTGCAATAAAATGATAAATTTCAATACCCTATATCAGTATTAATACCATACCTATTCAATGTAATGTTAGTGCAATGAAGGTACAATTAAACTGTAATTGGAAATACAGTACATATGGAATGCACTCTAACCGATCGATTGTAGCATGTTTTAAAGCGGATCGCAAGCTCTCAAAGTTGGATTAGCCATAAAGCAAAGTAAGCACTGCTTAGAGCACTAACGAAAGGGGGCCCGACAAAAATTTCCGGTTCTGGGAAAAAAGCCCACAGGAAAAAGCCCAGAGGAATAATGCTCACAGGTATAAATGCTCACAGGAAAAAAGCCCACACAGAAATAAGATGTATGCTCACATGGAAATAAGCCCACTGATAAATAAAATACGTAGAAATATCCTTACATTAATCAAGCAATAATTAAGCGATCTGAACATCGTACACCTACTTAATTTTTAAAAGAAAAATGATTTAATCGTTAGAAAAAATTATTGGAAAAATGCTCAAATTAACCTTCTCAGAGGCGGTACATAAAAGAATGAAAACTATAGTAAAATTTTGCATGTACTATAATATTTTATACCACTGCCCCTGTACTACATTTTTATTCTTGTAACTGCCAATAATTAATTTTTTTTTACTCTATTTTTGCATACTTTTGATGTGTATCTGTGGGAATTGATGTTTGAATAGTTATTTAAGTTTGCAAACCAAAAAAGTTCTAGAAGACCACAGTTTCCAATCGAAGTGTGGAGCAACCTCCGAAAAATCTCCTAAAACCATAAATCGTTACGAAAGTTTTCATAAGGTACTAAATTCATTATTTAATTGCAGCCATCCCAGTATGGGGTTTTTATTTAAGGATTTAGCCTGTCAACGTTTATTATTAGCTATTGTAAATACAGGGTGTACTGAAGTTAAAAAAAATAAAATATGAAAACTTACATTTAGTAATCGCGAATCATGTAACAGACTATGATGAAATCGATGATAAAATTAGATATTTACTCATATTAGCTAATATTCAGTAATTTTATGTATTTATAACTTTTTGAAATATATGTTTATGATTTATATATGATAAGGTATATTACGTAATTTAAATAAAATAATTATTTATATTTGCTATTCTTCTAAATGTTTATATTATAAAATGTGTAACTTATATTTACTATTATTTTATTTTTTTAACAATTTAAAATTTTAATAATTTTTCACTGTAAATTCTGTTTCATTTTAATTCCTTCCTCCTATCCTTTTCCTAATTCAAAACAGTCCATTTGTTAATCTTATATAATATAATTATATTTCTTAATCTTATAGCAACTGAATCTACACATAAGTTATACGGTTTTTGATATATATATACCATAGATGTTTTGGTAATTTAAATCATTTTTCTTTGAAAAATTCAAGTAGGTATACGATGTTCAAATCGATTAATTATTGCTTGATTAATATAAGGATATTTCTACGTATTTTATTTATCAGTGGGCTTATTTCCATGTGAGCATATATCTATGTGAGCTTTTTTCCGTGTGAGCATTTTTTCAAGTGAGAGCTTTTTTCTGTGTGGGCATATTTCTGTGTGGGCTTTTTTCATGTGAGCATTTATACCTGTGAGCATTATTCCTGTGGGCATTTTTCCTGTGGGCAATTTTCCGGTCACCAAAATATCCCATTGACAGTTACACCATGAGATTTATGGTGCAGTTACGTCAAGAGTGAGACTGAAGGAATAGGGCAGAAAACTGGCGTGAACATCATGGAAGTACAAAGTACTTATTTTCTTACCTGCATGGTGAACTTACGTGGGGGGGGGGGGGGGGCACCAACATCTCTTCAATGCTTAAGGCCGCTTAAAATCTTAGTGCGGCCCTGCAAGCTCTTCATCACTAAACTTAATTCACTGCATGCACTAAACATAATTACTGTAGCTGATTTTGACAAGAAATGTGACGAAATAAATCAAGCGAAATCAAAATGATGAAAATATCCCTAAAAAGAATAATGTTCTATAGTATTTCATCACATGTTTAGCAATATTGCAAGAGTAAAACCTTACTTTGGATGAAATCTTATATATATATATTTTTTAATTTAGCGTTTGGATATTTATTCACACCACAATGTTTAAAAGTTTTCGTTAAATGTTTCTATGATTTCATTTAAATTAATTTACAAAAGTACGCTTACAAAATTTTTAAAACAATTGTAAATTCTACATAAGAGCTAAGATCAAATGACCACTCAGAGTTTCAGGAGATTGCTGGCTTATTTCCTTTGTTAGAGCCATCTTTTATGGAGAATTGCAATACAATCAATTCTGGATGATTATCTTCCAGATATTGCAGAATAGCTACCATTCACTATTTCCCTCCTTGTAAATTTATGTTTTATATGTTATGTCATCCCATGAAAGCCTCGCATCTGAAGCATATTTGCACATCCTATGCATAATCCCACTAGCTTAGATCTGAAGAACGTTTTTTGCTTCATGTCTTGTATACTTTTGCGTTTGCTCTACTCATCGTGGAATTGCTGACAGGAAAGTAACAGCTACGTGAACGATTTGGAATACTGAAGCTCATATGAATATTGAGTAATGATTATAAATCCAGCATTTTGTCATAAATTCACCAATAAAATTTAAAGAAAACAGCAGTTTCATTTTTGTAAACACTCAAGAAATGTATCACATTAACCTACATAAAAAAATCTATAAATATATTTTTAAAGCATTTACGGTATTAGAAGCCGAAAATTAATTAAAAGTGTAATAGAAATTCATTGACTTATACCAATAGCAAAGAAAGACTATTTTCTAAGCATCTAAAAACAGTACAAAAAGCGCAATCTCAAAACATTTGTGAAAACACCACAACATCATAAATATGTAAATTTCGTGTAACATGAAAACATTTCAAAATTTCAGCTCAAAAATTCATTTGCGAATTAGAAGAGGAAAAAATTATTAAAGGATTGAATGTGGATACTCATGTGCATTTTTGCAAATAAACAAATATATAAAATTTTAGAAACTTTCGCATGTTTTTATTTTGGTTACTGCATTGGTAAGTCAGAAGAATTTTCTGTACTGAGCATATTTGACTATGAAATGCATTGGAAAAGCAAAAAGTTAGTAACCACTTCAATATTTGACAAGGAATAAAATGTTATAGATAAACAGGAGTTTAAAACCAAGAATGCAATAAAGTACAAGTATAAATTCATTTGTTAATAAGTTATGAACAGTCCTTTGAATAGATTACGGCTAAGAGCTTCCAGATTGGTAATGAAACATTCAGTTCCGCCTTTAAGATTTTACCTGGAAAAAAAAAGCAACGAGGTCTACGTAATAGTAAAATATTGTTTGAAGTTGTGCAGACAAAAGAAAAAGAACATGCCTTAAAAAAATCACATCACTTGCAATATGAAGTTGTAACATGACCCCGGTCCATCAATGCATTACAAGTTGTAAGTAAAATGTTCTATACTGAGTATTTGTCACATACGAAATGTATTGGAAAAGCGAAAATTAGAAATATTTTAGCAATAGACTACGAATAAATTTTCTTTGATAAGCAAATGGTTAAAAGATTAGTTAAAAAATTGCAAAGTACATGTACAAATTATTTTCCTTAATATTTAATATGTTATAAATGTTCTTTTTAGTGGAATGAAATCAGAACCTACCAAACTGAGGATGAAAACTCAATTCAACCATTAAGATTTTACTCAAGTTGAAGTAAAGACTTTTGGGTGTTGATAAAAATCAACTTGAAATTGCGCAGATACAGGAAAAATGTTACCTTTTTTTTTTTTTTTTTTTTTTTTTTTAATATTTCCTTGATATATAACAAAATAAGTAAAAATATAACCCTGGTCCATCACTGCAATATAGCAATCATGTGTGGTTAATTACTCGTTTCGAATGCCATAAAGAAGTAATTTTTGAGACAAGGAGAAACATTTTCAAAACAATCACTCTTATTCTTCCAAGTAATTTAAATTAAAACAGAGTTGATGTTTCTTATGTAGATATTGATATTTTCTTAAATATGATTTTAATGAAATTAGTATAATTTTTTTCTTAAAGTGTATGCAAGTCAGTGATCGTGATAACTTAGAGAAAAGATTCGAAGTCCTTTTGAAGTGGGTTAAAAGCTCTGTTACCTATATAAGAATACATCAATCTCAGAGAAATTCCACTCAAGCTGAATCTTCCAACCATGTAAAATAATTATTAAACCAACCAATTGGTCCCTATAAGTAACTGTAAATTTATTCAGCCCTTATATGTAACTCTAACTGTATATGCCCTCCAGTAATTTCGAGAAATGGAAGGTAGTGGAAATTTCTCGGCGGCCGAGGGGAAAATCATATAAGACCGCAGAGAGCATCCGGTTTTTAGTTGAGTTGACTTCGGAGTATTGAAAAATCTCCGCGCAAGATTCTCTCTTTGTATAAACTTTGCATGGCTTTATATTTAACGTTCTTAGTAGTTTGAAGTGCTAACTACTGATTGTGCTCTGTCATATTGAGAAAAGAATACTTTTGTGAAAAGTTTCCAGAACTGTAAACCCAAGTAGCACGGCAATGTCGTAACGACGTTGCAAACTGGTCGCGAGTCATGTAAAAACGTTGCAATATGTCGTCTTTAAGATGCCCAGATGTCCGCGAAACTCCACTGTTTTGCAACCGTTGCAAAGACGTCTTTATTACATCTTTTTCAGATGAGGTTTATGTTGAATAGACGTCGTTATTGGGTCTTTCTCATGTTATATTTTGGTTGTGAAAGCATCGTATCACGACGTCTTAAAGACGCCTAAATGTTTGCAGAATTCGACCCTTTTGAAACAATTGTGAAAACGTCGTTATTATGTCCTAGTGTTACATAATGATTTATGAAGAAAAATAAGCTTAATAATTAATGTATTTTTCTTCTTTTTTAAAGTTTGCATTCCTTGCATTTTTTTATAAAGTTTAACTATTTTATCATTTCCTGAAAACCAGAAGATAATACAATTTTTTCTCT